GAAGCCCTGTTCTATGAATTACTAAGGCCCCTACATTAGATTCGGGTTCGTGGTTTAGGCTGGAGCTAAGCCTGGGAGAGTTCTGGTTGCTGGAGGGCGCTTCTCGAGTGACTATGCGTGTGGTTTGTGCTGGGCTACTTGGAGGTTCATGGGTAGTTATAAGTGGGGTTATAAGTAGGGTAACTATACTTATAACCCATATTAGGGGACTTATATCCCCATTTATAACTACCCATGAACCTCCAAGTACTCCCACCCAGAACCCTGAACCCTGAACCCTAGACCGTGGTTGTTGCCACCCAGATGCGAATGCCTTTAGCTGCATCCAGCAGCCATCCTACCTATTTACTCTTGCAGCCTTGCCTTGGCTTTCACCTAATTGACGGTGACTTTTGCTAAACCCTAAGCCCTTGAACCTTGAACCCCAAACCCCCAAAAATGCCCAAGCCCCAAAACTTCAACCCTAAACCCTAAACCCTAAACCCTAAACCCTAAACCCTAAACCCTAAACCTAAACCGGGAATCCTGGGCCCAGAGCCCAGAGGGTTGGCTGGTTGTGCCATCAGAGAGACCACTTAACAGACTCTAAACTGAAACCTCCAAAACCCACATCCCAAATGCAAACCCCTACACCCCTAAACCCTAAGCCCGAAACCCTAACGTAAAAAGAGCAAGAAACCCTAAACCCTAAACCCTAAACCCTACCTTACCTTCCCAACAGCGGAAGGATTGGGATGAACCTGGACATGCCAGAAATGGTAGGACGAGGAGAAGCTCAGTGCTTGCTCCGGATGCCGAGGCGCGGGTTTAGGGCTTAGGGTTTAGAAGGCTTAGGGTTTAGGGCTTAGGGTTTCGGGTTTAGGGTTTAGGGTTTAAGTTTAGGGCTTATAGGCTCTAGGGTTTAGGGCTTATGAGGTTTAGGAGTTAGGATTTATAAGGTCTAGGGTTTAGGGCTTATAAGGTTAGGGTTTATAAGGCTTGTTCTGCATTAAGACTCTGAACCCTGCACCCCAAGGCTCCGAAGGACCTAGTAATCAGGTATTTGGGATTAGGATAGAAGGCCTAAAATATCAGGTACTTGGGTTTAGGATATAAGGCCTAATAAATCAGGTACTTGGGTTTAGGATAGAAGGTTTGTAGGTTAGTATTTGGGAGAGTATATGGTTATGGGGTACTTGAACCCTCGGGGCTAGACCCGAACCAGAAGTGGAAGAAGGACTTCCGAAAGATCTCAATGGGGTTTGGGCTTACGGGGTTAGTCGGGATTTCTTTCCTGGCAGCCTTGTTAGAATGGGTGTTGAGTCCAGATTAGGATTGTTTTGAGATCCTTGTAACAGCTTGCAATGGCAGCTTTGTCTCCGCTCTTTATGGGGCTTGGAGTTTGCGGTCCAGGGTTAATTGAAGTGTTTTTGAATGCGCTTACATTGCGGCCTACATATGGACTCTTCACCATTGAGTCGGCTGACAAGAAAGGGGGCTGCATGGAAGGGTCGAAGTGGACGTATCCCACAGGTCCAAGTCACATTAATTGGAGATTCGCAAAAACTTGTTTGGTGTGGTTGTCCTTTTTGCCAAGGTGTTGAAGTGCTCGCTAGAGGAACCAGGAGAAAGGAATGTTACCAGGCATTCTAGCACCTTTGAAGATCAAGAAGGCACCTACGCATGACAGACGTCCTGTCGTAGTTGGGGGTCGGTGGCGATAAGTGTGGCCTTAGGTTGTGGAAGCACGACGAGTCCTTATCTCAAAGACCCTAAACCCTACAAGCCTAAACTTTACTTGGAGGATCATGGGATTGAGCAACTAAGGCTGCCGAATAGCGTAGCTACACCTATAATTTGACCCCTACTAAGTCCCATGATCCTCCAAGTGTGTAGAACCCTAATGACATCCCAACGCCCTAAACCCTAAACCCATGAACCCTAAGCCCTAAGCCCAAGCCCAAGGTTGAACCCATGGGCCCCTAGTATGAGCCCTTAACCCTGGGATCCTGATACACCGACTATATAGCCTATATGTACCCTTACGAGTCCCTAGAAAGGCCTAAGGGTCCAGA